TCTGATAAATAGCAGATAAACTGTCATTGTCACCTTGTGGAAGGAAAGGATCCTAGATCTTAGTGTTGATGGTGAATTTCCAAACAGTTGAACTATACTCAGTGACATCAACACAGAATTATAATGAAATATGGCTTTAATTATAAGTATACATAGGAAAAACAAATTCAATTAAGATAAATCTAAATTATCATTTGTTCACTTAGATTTTCTTAGAGTTCCACTTGTTTCATTATTTAAAAATAAGACTATCATTTTCTCCCAAATATTTATCCAGACGTTTTATGATGATGTTCACTATAAACCTGTTCCCAGGAAGAGGATTATTTATTAAAGCCAAATTGGTGCACATGTATAATAATCATTACAGAGAACGTTTTCAACAAGATCAACTCTGCCCAACTTTCCTCATTTGAGGCAGAAAGCTGTGCTGCCACGGTACTAACAAGGTGAGACTATTCACAGGCCCTATAGAAAAAAGGTGCCCTTTAGCACTGTAACATATTTCTTTATTATTACCATGATAGTCAGACACAAGAAGCAATGTCAGGATGTGGGAATGGGCCACAAAGAAGGAAAAATAATTTAAAGCCAAATTTTAATAAATGACCCCAGAGGAGGTGCTAAGGGCTTTTCAAATGGATGCTTGATGGCTGATAGCTGTGCCTCAGCTGAGGCCAGGAAGCCCTGCACTATATATACACAGAAAGGCACACAGTTTGCCAGAATTCTGTTCAGGGCTATCCGGAGAAAGGCACCAAGAGAGTGGGAGTAGGCAACACTAGGGTGCTGACTTCATCTGTTGCAAAACCAGTGTTCATACGGATACCCACTGACCTGGAGTGGTGCCCCTGCCATTGAGTCAGAAGACCAATTTGTCACAAATATTAATTATAACAAAGGAAATAACAACAGGGAGATGTTCTCATCTCACTTGGGAAGTCAAAAGTGGAATCAGAGTTGCTAAGGATCTCAATATGAGAAGCAAAAACAGAACCTCAGAATTACTTCCAGGGTCTGGATATCCCGGGGAAGACTTAAAGATGGCTGCCCAGGAAATTTCTTATTTAATTAGTCCTAAAGTGGCATCCATCCTGGGTTAAATTAAATAGCAGAAGCCTGCCATGTAGGGGCATCTGCATGTTTAATTCAGTATTACAGAAAAAGCAAACTTTGAGCTTGAATTTGCAATCATTTCAGAATACTTCCAGACATGACGGAATTGTTACTTGTAAAGAGCTTTGGTTCTTTCAGGAGCATATGAAAACCCCAAATCATAGATGATGAGAACACTGATGCTTCAGTTATTCTTTCCTTTCCCAATCATTTTAGAAAGGCATCAGTTATACGTTATTGTGATTATGATGAAAATGATTCAAGTTCTAGATAAAGGGCCACCACCAAAAGCTTCATGTAAGTTTGTTTTTCCTTCCCCCTACATGGTTTACAAGGCACACACTCCATCAAGGACCCTGACCTGATCGTACAATCAGTTTACTATTAATACAAATCTGTATCTCTTTCCCCAACATCCTTGTCAAAAGAAAATGAAGCCATCATGTTTTAGACTTCACATGCAATCCTGCAAACTACACGACTGTAAAAGTACACACGTCCTCAGGAGAGACAAAACTTAGCTAGGTTTAAAAGACCTAGGATCAAATACCCTCATTTGCAGAAGGAGTTTGTTTTCTTGACTTTGGTAGGACCAAGGACTGTGTGCATGCTGAGCATATGCTGGACCACTGAGATATTTACTTTGTGTTTTTGAGACAGTGTCTCATGTAGTCCAGGCTGGTCTTGGACTTAAGGTATATTTGAGGATCAACTTGACTCCTGATCCTCCTGCCTCCACCTTCCAAGTGCTGGATTATAGGTGGACACCAAGTGCTGAGGACAAAACCCAGGGCTCTGTGCATGCTAGGGAAGGACTCTGCCAGCTGAGCCACATCCCCACCCACCACTGAGGTATTAACAAAGAGAACCTCAGCCCTTCTCTTGCTTTTAACGTCTTTCCAGTCATGAAATATTCCTCACCCTCTCCTCCAAATGAACATATTTATCTTTCTGAATAGAATCATCTAGAAATGGGCTTGTCAGCATTAGGCTACTTACATTTTATTGACAAAATTAAATGAAAAGCCATGCCACTGTAGTCATGAGTTTGGAGACACAATAGCAACGGCTACCATGCATTTGACTACTGTTAATTTCAGCAACTTGTAATGTATTATCTTGACTTCTTTTCTAAGCAAGACCTGTTGGCTTCATTTTTCTTTGAAATTCAACTCACTACACCAGGAAATGGGGGTAATGTTACCTTTTGGCTGGAAGTATTCAAGGGGCTCAAGGCACCCACCTACCACACTTGGTCACCAAGTGGAAGAGGCTTAAATGCATGTCCCACTCATGAGCACATATCCTTCCATTGCCAAGATGTCTTTCATTACCTGACAGCTAAAGGGACATCACTGAGCTGCTTGGTGACCATAAACAACCAAAATAAAATTAAAAGCATTTACCATTTTATGATGTCAAACCTATAAAATATAACTATTTAGAATTGCTGTTAGACCATGTCAGTAAAGATTCTAGTTCATCTTTTTTTTAAGCACTGGCCATAAACAGAAGGAAAGAAAGGAAAAGAGGTTGTGGAGTCATTACCAAAAAGGCAGGATGTAGTTCTAGCCTAAGAACTTAATGGGTCTTGGTGTATTTCAGCACTAATCTGTTTAGCTGAAAAACGGTGATTACAGCACCTACAGCATGTATGAGATGAACCTTTGTGCTTGGTTCTCACTCCACCAAGGCACCACACCTGCGGCCACACAATCAGCTTTAGAAGTCGCACAAACCCAAATTTCTTCACATATCATATTTACTACTCATGGGCCATTTAGAGTCAGTCCCCTATACATTGTTATACTTATTATTAAAGGCACTATGGCACAGGAAAGGTCTTACATACATCTGTATTTTTCTTCTAGGAGACCTTTGGAGAGAGACATTAGTCCAATCTTCAGACTCTGCACTCTAATTTTTCCAGTTCGACCCCTGAAATTATAAGAACACAAATGGGTTAGACGTATTTAAAACTATATACAGTATGTCAGTTGTTCAGAATATTTATTTCCTTGAGAGTAAATCATTTCACAATAAATGCAAGTTAAAGCTGCAACTTTTCTATTCAGTTTTAACAATTAACATCAAACTGCCACTATAATTTCATGACAAATTTTAACAATGTGTTTGAACAAGTCTAGAAAAATATAATGAAGTCACTTCATACACTTGGCCCAAGAACGAATTAAAGTAAAAGAAAAGCAACCATCATACAGCTGAAAAGATTTCCTTTTCATAAATACTATGGATAAAATCTGTTCATTATAAATGCAAGAATAAAAACATATAGTTAAAGCTACACACAATGCATGACTTCACACAGTACAGATGGAGTACTGCCGCAGATACTTAAAAGCAAAAAGACTATGCAGGAAAATAACTGTATAGTGAGGACTTAGCCCTTGCAAAATACTTCAAAACTCGCTGTCTTCACTTACTTTGATTTTTGTCAGTGTAGTCTTCATAAATTACTATTGCAATTTTAATAGTGAATCACCTTAAATAGGCAGGTGTAAAATTTATATTAGGGGAAGTATGAAATAATAGTTAAATATGCAATGTATTAGTTAATCAGCATTAGGAAATAATTTCATACTATGCCAGTGAGACACCATTTCCATTCACTTATGAGTTGACTAAAAGACGTATTTTATCTATAAAAACAGGGTTGTTTTTATTCCAACATTCATCAAGGTATTATTAAACTGTTAACCAAAAGCTGGTCATGGTAATAGATCCTAGGGATGCCAAAAGCACCATAAAATTAGTAAGATATGATCTTACCAATGGAATACCACACAGTCTAGAAAAATGCCTTCTGGCTATACTTATTATTTCAGATTCTCCTACAGTTTTCAGTGCAGATTTATTCTCTCAATATTCAAGGCATGAATACAGCACACTTAAAACATATAGATGTTTACATTATTAGATACACACATAAGATTTAGTAATTTGTGATTTTTTTGTTTTGTCTTTTGAGACAGGGTCTCCCTGTAGCCCCAGCTGACCTGGAATGACCTATGGAGACCAGCTTGGTTTCAATCTCACAGAGATCCTTCTGCCTCTGCCTCCCAAGTATTGGAATTAAAGGCATGCACAACCACATGCAGCTTATAATTCATGATATTTTAAAAACACATATATATTTCTAAGATGGAGGTGTTATTTAAAGTGCTCTCATTGTTAAATTACACTTAAATCTTGACTTTACTGTTTTTTTTTTACTAATTATACTCAAATATTTTTCCATTCTTAAAGTGATAAATGCTCAAGTGAATGTCTGCATACATACCATGTAATAAAAGGTATGTGTTTTTTTATTTTAAAAAAGGAAAGCGAGACTGTCAGAGAGTGCCTCTTCTGGCCTCTCTCTGACAGTCAGAGGGGTGGAGAACGCAGGGGACTGCCTGAGAGTGCCTGGATCCTGCCTCCACAGGGTAGGGAGCTTCCCCTAATTGCGCCATACACAACCCCCTAACTGGGATTGCATGAGGTCCCTCCCAAGGCCCAGGGCAGACCTGGCTTTGGTAGGATAACGCTAAGATCTTGGCAAACAACCTGAGAGGGTGGGTTCCGACCTCCATCTGTGTACTGTGATCTCATTAGACTGCCAGAGAACACCTATGATGGCCTCCCCCTGGCAAAGGGGCTGAGAACTCAACAGACCAAATGAGAGTCCCAAAATCGATCCCCTTTAGGGAACTTCCCAAATTTTGCTCTGAGTTCCCACTAGTAGAGATCCAAACTTTAGAAGAAAGCCTGAGTGTACCTGACTGGAACCTGACTTGGGCTTCTGTGTGTACTTCTGAGTAGCTGATCTGAAGACATCAGTTCCCTCCAAAATAAAACCTCAGAGAACCTGAAACTTGGACCAAACAGCTTTACATGACCAATAAGAAAAGGACAAAGGCACATCAATAATACAAACAGAAGCAAACTACAACTTAATTTTCGTATCAGAATCACAAACAAAAGAAATTCACATGCCAAAATCACAACAAAAGAATAATAAAATGGAAAGCCAAAACACTATGTCCCCACCAAACTCCACCAGTCCTGTAGAAGAGTTCTACAAGGAGAACCTCCCAGAGATAACCCAGGACACAGAATTTAAAAGAACAATCATGAACATGCATAAGGAATTCAATGAATTTAAAGAACACAGAAACAAATAAAGAACTAAAAGAAGATAGGGATAAACTTCTGAATGAATTCACAAAAGAGATAGAAATGAAGAAGGAAGTACAAAACTCAATAAGCCAACTTGAAACAACAGGGGAAAGCCTCACCGCTAGAATGAATGAAATGAATAACAGAATATCAACATCGGAGGATAAAGTTGAAGAATTGGACAACTCAAGCAAAGAGTATGAAAAAATTTAAAAAACACAGGAAAGAAATATGCAAGAGACGTGGGACACCATGAAAACACCAAATCTACGTATCACAGGCATAGAGGAAGGAGAATTTCAGGTTAATGCTATTGAGAACATCTTAAACAGGATTGTAGAAGAGAATTTCCCAAAATTAAGGAAAGACATCCCCGTACAAATACAAGAAGCATATAGATCACCAAATAGACAGGATCAGAAAAGAAATTCCCTATGATATATCATAGTAAAAACACTAAGTGTACAGAACAAAGAGAGAATACTGAAAGCAGCAAAAGAAAAGCAACTCACATATAAAGAAAAACCCACCAGAATTATAGCTGAC